TTAACTCCAAAAATTGTTAAAATCAAGTAGATCTATAAACGTATGCAACTCTTGAAAATGGACAGTCTAGATAATTTGTTCCAAGATGCATTATTTCTGTAACTCAAAATTTTTTTTTTTTCTATATTTGGACATTTCGATGTCGAGATGATCAATTAGAGGGTATTTCAACATCTTTGGTTGTTGTATCCAATCATCTTGGTTTTGTGCGTTGAGCTAATGCAATGGTCCATAATTCAACCTACTTGGTTATACCTAGGCTGGATCTGGGTTGATAGGAATTTCTTTCACTATGTAGGTATGTTGTAGCCTTAATCATTTGTAAAACTGTTTGGACTAAATCTTGCATCAATTATGTTGCTGGATTATTCTTTAAAATTCTGATATGGAGCTGGTGACATATGGACCTTTGCATTCCTCGTAAGAAGTTCATGAATTGGATAATCTTTCTTTGGAATTGTTAATTGCTTTAGAATTGTGGATTGCATGTCACTTATTGTATTCATTGTATGGAATGCTGGATAATTCAATTCACTTCTAAGCATGATAATTGATTTTTTAACTCAGTAGTTGTCAGGCATGTATAGGAAGAGCTTTTTTTGTTAGGTCTAAAGCATGATTTATATTTTGCTAGATTCTTGGTTGGCGAAGGCGCACGTGAGTGGGCTCTGTCTAAGGGCATCATTTCTCAAGAAAGTTCAGCAGAGGTTGATAAAGTATAGTTCTTATTCCTTGTCATTGTTGGCTTCACAAATCTCTGTTATTGTTTGCTCGACCTAGAATTATTAAGATCCTATTGAGATTTGTTTAGTTTATTCAATAAGGATGTCCTTTGGCTTTGGTTCACTGAGCCTTTCTTTAAATATCTGTATGAATAGTGGCTAGTGACTGAAAGGGCAAAAGAACAATGGTTTATATACAAAGCAATGCTTGATGATGCTAAAAGAGGGGGTGGATCTTCCACAGATGAACTTCCTTCATGCCCCGGAACAATGCATCAATCATTGGCAAGTTCAGGTAACTGTGGTTCTTTTATTTTTGTGGTTGAGCATTTGAAAGTTAGCTTAAAGTCAGCTACTTGCCATCCTCTCTAGCAACGTATAACATAGATCCGTGATAGTGTGTTAATTATGTTTCAAAGTATGCTGTACTTTGGATTTGTTGGCCATATCAACTTGAATATCTTGCCTGTGATTATTTGGAAATGTAAATGAATGTGCCATTAATTTGTGTCTCTATGATGGTTTTGAATGATGATCTAGGCCTTGGTCTGTCCAACCTGGGGCATCATTTTTCCTAGGCCCTCTCAATCAAAAATGAGGAAAGAGAAGGCCCAAGCCCAATCGTAGCACTTTTTATAGGTGATTATGTTGTTAAGTGAAAGAGCAACACAAGTGTGTACTGCGTTAGGAAGTTGACACTCATAGCAGTTAGCATTTTATTCCATGAAAGAGTGTGTAAAAAATGTCTTCCATACTGGTGGACAGAGTCAAGTTAGAGATTCTAACTCGTTGATGTGTTCAGAAAGGCGTCTTTTATTATAACTTCAGGTGATAAGATTGTGTCGAAGTTGCTTAATTTTCTTTTGCCAATAATTTATGAGCGTTCTCAATCTTCCCATTGTTAGAAGTGACATAGCATTAATGCTGAATGATTGGCTGCTCCCCACCTAGGATTGTATCCTTATTATTAGGTTTCCCAAGCTTGTGTAACTGGATATTCCTGTCTAATTGCTTTATAAGGTCTCTACAATATGCTGTATTCTAATTTAGTGGAGATTTGTGGATCCTTTTGCATTTTCATATTCACCTACAAATGAGTTCAGCTACAATTTAGTCATGATCATAGGACCATATCTGAAGTTTCCAGTAATGATATGAGGCTTAGTGCAATCATTTTTCCTTTCAAAAGTGAAAAATAGTTATTTAACACAGAATTTTGTAGGAGTTGGAACAGAAATGTTCTGTCCATAATGGGCCTCCATAAAAGTCACAGACTGAACTCAACTCTCTTGGGAGGATAACAGTTTAAAAAAAAAAAAACTCTCTTAGGAGGATAAGTTCAAAAGGAAAATTTGAGTTCCACTTACATGTTAGCTCACACAGTTATTTTCTTAGAAAATATCATGCTTGGAAGTGGGAACTAGGAAATTATTTAATTATCATGATCACAATTTCCTGTTTTTCAAATCCAGGTGAAGCTCAACTATTTCCTGAAAAAGGAAATGGTAATGGAAGCATGGAGATTTTGGAGGTTGAAGTTAACAAGGATGCCATTATGGACACTGTGGGAGCTATTTGTGTTGACTCTCTGGGACATGTGGCGTCGGGGGCCTCAAGTGGTGGAATTGCACTGAAGGTAATGGACGTGTGAGCAAGTTTTTGCATCCATCACTGCCAATCCTTTTGTTTGTATATTGTTTCCAATATATATATTGGGATTAGTATTATTTATTGTGTCTAGTATGTATTGCTAGGATTCGTTTTGATAGTTAACCACATGAAAATTTTGTTATTTCTTGCCAATTTTTCCCAGCTCACGTAAACATATGCAATGTTTTTTAATTCGAGGAGCTTTACATTTAAACGAGTGTATACTCATTTTAATGAAGTTATTAATTTGGAGACCCACAAGGCAAGATACACGGAGGCAAAAAGGAACATAACCAGAGGAAATCAACAAACGCCCCACTGAGAGGTCAAGGTTTTTCATTTTAGTAGAATCTTACTCTTTATTGATTCATTTAAATGACCAGCAACGAGCTATTGACCGTGCACACAATTGTTTTTGAGGAAAACTGTATACACATTTCTAGATAGCGATTGATTCTAACTCTCATTTTTTCTTATTTAAAATCTTTCGGTCGTGAAGAAATAAAGGAAGTGAACAAGCATACAATAGTTACAAACAATCAATAGATGGCCCCTCTTCTTCCTTGAAAGTAAAAGAGCAAAGGAGCTCTACTATTATCGTATATAATAATATAACTTCTCTTAGGCTCCAGTAATTGGTGCTCCTATGCCCTAATTAAAATTATTATATAATTGCATTAATGTTGAGAACTATCGCTTTTGTGCCCTATGACAGGTCAAAGGGCGTGTTGGACTAGCAGCAATGTATGGTTGTGGATGCTGGGCTGACTCAAAAGGTCCCTTTGGTGCACCTTTCCCAGTTGGTTGCTGTGTTAGTGGTGCTGGAGAAAATTTAATGAGAGGATTTGCTGCACGTGAATGTTGCTTGTCGTCATCATTGTATGTCCTTGCTTCATAATCCATTTTCCACTTGGAATAAAAGATCATATTTTTTATTATCGAGAAAAAAAATGAAAGACTGCTTTTGTTATTGCTATGATTCATCATCATCCGAATCTTATCCCAACTATTTGGGGTCGGCTATATGAATCCAGTTCTACGATTCCACTTTATCAAGGGCCTTAATGTCAGTTTGAGCATAACACCATATCTGTTTTCACTAGTGCTATCCATGTCCTAAAAGACCTTCCCCTTCCCCTTTAGGGATTTTTACTTGAACCAAATTGCTTCCCCTAACCGGTGTTGTTCTAAGTTGACATTGCACATGGTTAGTCCACCTAAGTGTACTTTCCCTCGTCTTATTGTCTATTTGAGCCACCCTTGAGTTTCCTTAGATACATTCATTATGAATTCTATCTTTTCTTGTCTTGCTACTCATCTATCTCAACATCCTCATTTCAGCTAGACTCAGTCTATGGATATGTTGGTTCTTGACTGCCCAACATTCTATCCCATAAAACATCACCAGTCTTATAACCTTCTTGTAAAACTTCCCTTTCAGTTTCATTGTTATTGCGGTGATCGCATAAAACTTCAGAAGAACATCTGTATGGTGCCCATCCAACTCTAATTCTATTTGTAACGTCTTCCTCAATCTCTATTCTCATGAATTATTGACCTTTAATATCGATAATAATCTATTTTAGGTATTTCTTGGCCACCAATATTAACTACTACCATGTTTCTTTTATTTTTTGGATGAGTCAGTGGGGAGAGGGCCCCAACCCTTGGTAGGAATTGAGCCTAGGACGTAAAGTTGCAAATCATCAAGTGCTAACCAATTAAGCCTGGGCTCTTTTCCTAACTACTACCGTGTTTCTACTCTTATTATTGCTAAACTTGCATTCCATATATTTTCTCTTAGTTCAACTAATTTAAAACTTTTAGATTCTCGAGCATCCCCCCAAAATTTTAACTTTAAGTTGACACCTTCTCTAGTCTCATCAATCAAAACTATGTGCCTCATCCTATAGATGTCTAGTTAACTCGTATATAACCAAAGCAAAGAGATATGGCCTCAATGTTGACCCTTGATGTAGGCCTACTGTCATTGAAAACTCGCTTCTCTTCAATAGTTGTCTGGATACTAGTTAGTGCTCCCTTGTACATATTTCTCACTTTGATGATATATCCTCTACAAACTCTTTCTTTTCCAATACCTACCAAATTAACGCTCTAGATATCTTATCGTATGCTTTCTCTAAATCAGTAAAGACTATGTGGACGTCTATTTATTTCTCTACTTCTCAATCAATTCCCTTAAATAGGGAAATAACCTCAATTGTTGACGTCCCTGGCATGAAACCAAAATATTTTTTCTGATATACTTGTTTTATGTCTTAGTTGTGGCTCAATCACTCTCTCCCACAACTTTATAATGTGGCTTAAAAGTTTGATTCCTTGATAGTTCGTACAATTTTGTATGTCTCCTTTATTCTTGTAAATAGGTACCACAATACTTTTTCTCTATTTATCTGACATTTTCTTTGTTCTCACTATGTTGTTAAAGAGCTTGGTCAATTAGAATAATGCCAATCTTTCCCGTACACTTCTAAATTTCTATTGGGATACCATTTGGTCGTAAAGCCTTTACTGTCTTCATCTTTCTCAAAGCTTCTTTCACTTCATATATCCTAATCCTATGAATGTATCTATGACCTCTAACCTCATTTATGTCAAAGGTTCAACCTAACACTGTGTTTCCATACTTTCCATCATTTTTTTCTAGTTTGAAGATATCTTTTTTGCCTTCTTTTACCCCAACTTGTGGTATAGATCATATTCCTTAAACTTAGCCTTAATATTTTCTTAGTATTTTGATAATCTTCTAAGTTTTGATCATTTCGAGTCCATTATTAAGGTTTATAGCATGATCCTTTTTTTACTAATAGCCTTTTGAACTTTATCATTCCACCGCCAAGTTTCCTTATTTGAATGTCTTTGCCCCTAGCTTATGTTAAAACTTCTTTTGCCTCTTTTGTAATACTATTAGTTATCTCATTCCACATAACATTAACTTCGTCTTGGGAATAAATTGATAAAAGAAAGAAAATGAAAGATTCCATTTTTACACCTAGGTCCATCAATTCACTCGGTTGCATCACGCTGTGCCTCAGGTGCACATCCACATGTCAACTCCTGTTAACCATCCCACTGATGGTTTCACTGTGATCCCCACGGCCAAGTTGGCTAGCATGGAAGGTCACATGCTAAGATTCCTGAGTTAAAATGGGTCTAACTCAAATTTTTAGAAAAACAGAAAGAGTAAACCGAAGAATAAGTTAGTGCTCTCTCTCACACATGCACACAAGGGTTAACCATCTTCTCTCTCTATCTTTCTCACGCATGTGCGGGGGTGTGCTCACATACACACACAGGGGCCACCCTTCTTGGCGCTCTGTTTCTCTCTTTCTCTCTCACACACACACAGTTTACCCGTCTTGTTTCTCTCTCACCCTTCTTGGTATACACAATTCACATGCATGGTTAACTTTTGAGTTCTTGTAGGATCTTCTCCACTCTCTCTCACTATCTCTCTCTCTCTCTATCTTTGAGGTTTTGTAGGATCTCATCAATTGGATTTTGTAGGATCTCATTAATTGGCTCTCTCTCGCTGTCTCTCCCCCTTCCAATGACGGACTTCATCTTTATGGGAATTCATTTCCCAGATTCAGGGTTTTTCTGGTCATAGTTGCACAATCTGGCTTTTCACCATTTTCATTAGGTTTCTATAAATCATATGAACACTTGATTTTGTTGGGTACGTGCAACTGTGTGAATGCATCTGCAAAAATATGCAACTGTGGGGGCAGACTCTGTTCTTATCTGCATAAGATACTTTTCTTCATAGGATACTGAATTTTGTCATCTCTGATTGGTAGATCACAGGCTGGTCCTACCTCTGCATGTACAAAGATATTGAAAGCGATACTCAAAGATCGGGCTCAAGAATTTGAAGATAGAGGGTCAGGAGTGTTACTTGTCCAAGCTGACATTCACAAGGAAGTGAGTTAGGCTTCTATAATATTTAGTTCTGGACTCTAGGACCACTGCTCCAGCAGTGTTAACCTGGTTTGGATGAGGGATGACAGGTTGGGTGGTTCAAGGTTTCTATCATACAAACTAGTTGAAAGCGAAAAACAGAAAAATTATGGTCGTACTTCGAAGTTGGCTTCTCTCTCGAGCATACATAGAACACATGTAATCGATTGAAAATTTACAGTGTATAGGTTCCAAACACCAATTCTCTCTCTCTCTCTCTGTCACACCCACACACACGGAATCAAGTTATAATTTTCATCCAGATATCATTTACTTGTTCCTTTCTTAGAGTTTTGGTAAATTGGTCAAGTGATCTTTATTTGAAGCGATAGACATTATGAGTTGCTTTTTGGTGCTGTAGCACTCGAGTAACTCAGAACGACTAAGTGCAGTAGAGCTCGTTGCTGCATACTCGTCCTCATCGTTTGGAATTGGATATTATGGGAGCTCAATGAATCGACCTAAGGTATGGCATTTGAAACTCTTATTTAGTTATGATATTCCGGGTTTGCAGTTCTAAGTTTGAGTTATGTTCATGAGCCTTCTGAATGTCCAATTCATACACAAATGTGCTTGCTGTTGTTTTCTTATACGCTTTATATATGGATTAATGAGAATATTTTTGCATATGTCGAAGCACCTATGCATGCACATCTTTTATGCATTTCTATGGGTATTTATGTATAGATCAACACAATTCAAAAGCTCGAGTGCATTCACAAACATTATTGGCTTTAATTTGCACCCACCAACATCAGCCCACAGGTTTTGTAGGGGTGGCAACGGGCTGGGACGGGTCAGGCCAGACTCAAAAAATGATATGGGACCTGGGCCCGGACCTGAACCCAAACCTGACCAGACCTGGACACAGACTCGAAAATATAGTGTGGGACCCGTACTTAATTGGACCCGACCCAAAAATTAAAATATCAATGTATTTAATTATGTTTTATGTATTGGGATCCGAAAAATATTACCGGACCCGGATCCAAACTTGACCTGATTGGACCCCGGACCCGGACACGAATAGTGTTTACGTCCAAGATTTGAGCCTAGATCCGACCCACAATGTCCAATTTTTGGACCCATACCCGACCCGGATTGGGTCCATTGCCACCTCTAAGATTTTGTTCCATTTTTCAGATTGATTGATCCATATGCAATTACTCGTATGTCATTTCAACAGTATAGTCATGGGATTATGATGCCATCAATGGGATGGACGGTGATGGTGGAGGAATTATCTGAACACTTGATTGATTAATGCCATCAATGGGATGGACGGTGACGGTTTGGCGGATTCACATCATTGTGGCCCAACCCATTCATATTACAGGGATGCATCCCTATGGCATCCGTTGATATGGTGGTATTAGTCATAGTATATGTTCCACCTTTAAATATGGCTGCAAATTAGGTGGTCTAGCCTGACCATATGGTTAGGCGGTCTAGCTTTTCAAATGGGATTGTTTGATCAGAAAATTTCTAGATATCTAGTAACCCAAGATCATCATCATCAGCATTAAGTCTTTATCCTAATTATTTGGGATCTCTAATTCCCCAAGATCAATTACAATGATTTTGCCTATAGGCTCATCACCGTTCGAAAAAATCGAACGGCGTGGATAAACGGTCAAAAATTTACGCGGAAGCATCATGGACATTGTGCCGTCCATTGCGGGTCCATTCAATAAACCGCACGGACATAACATGTTCGTGGCAGGGTGAAACAATATTTATTTTTGCCTATAGATGTTTTTAATATATATATATATATATATATATATATATATATTGGTATTTCTTTTGGGAATCAGTCACATTGTGAATCAAAGAAGATGCGAAAGTTTTCAAGTGAAAAAATCATCCTATGTTTTTTTGGGGGGCTAGACCAAATATTCTATAGTCGGGCTAGACCATATATATTTTTCGTTGTATATTTTTCGTTCGAACATTGCTTATGGGGTGAGTTTGCATAAGGTTGCAACGTTAACCAATTAAAAGAAGGCGCACTTTGCCATAAGATGCATCATTTCTAATTATAAAATTTTAAACTTCAAAAAGTGGTTCAATGAAGTAAATCGATAAATACATGAAAATCTTGAAAATCTTGAAAATGAATTGTCTAGATAATGTGTCCCAAGATTTATCATTTTTGGGACTGGAATTTTTTTCCCATGTCCATACAGCTTAATATGCGAGATTATTGATTAGTTGGTTTCCTAATGTCAAATCTGATTTTTTTTTTTATGGATTTTTCAGGTGTATCATAATTTTACATTTTAAACTTAATATAAACTTTTTCCTGGCTTATTTGAGTATTGAATTTGTGTCTTTATTTTTTATAAGAGAAACAATCTTATTGCTTGCACTTATGGTAATAATCTATTATTGTTGTGATGTCCATGTAGGTATCAATCTTGAGTAGCTCCAGAGCTACAAATAGCAAAGAAGTTGATCATTTTGGGGCACGCTTCGACCTAGCTACTATGGAATAACTAACATTAAAAATAAGGGATATTGGATTATTTCAATTATTAACCGAATGTTTACTGTATGCAGAATTTCTTGGAGATAACAATGTCGTACTCAATCATTTTATATTTTTGAGTTAGGATTGTATAAAAGATAATTTATCTTTGGTACAAGGAGGTTACAGTCACTTTTAACTTGTGGTGTTTTACAAACTTTAAGATTTTCATTTGAACTTTAAGCATAGTGAATAACACAAACCCCATTAGGCTGATCGCAAACCAAACAACCATGGGTACCCAACCTCCTTGTACCACAAATAAATAATTTTATTTGTCTGTTTTTCTTCTTCAACCCTTCTTCCCACCCCTCCCTCCCTTTAATAAGCTCTTTAATGTCAGGCATATCTTAAAATTGCTAAGCTTAACATTAGAAAGAAATGGGTATAGATTTTTTTTTTTTCATATAGGAAATTCTTTCTTCATCATAGGCAAAATTACATTAGATGGTTATTCTATCATTCTGTAAAGGTATAGTTGAAGTTTTTACTAAAAGAAAAAGTTTTTATAAGAGTGAGGCACTGAAAAATCAAATTAAGGTGCACCTCAAAAATTCAAAAGTAAGGGTTGTTTCGATTAAAAAAAACTTTTGAAATTGATCATCTTGACTTCGAAATATATGGACGTGGAAAAAAATGGATTTCAAGTCGGTGAAACAATGCATTTTGTATTGCATTATTTGCGATGTCAATTTTCAATATTTTCAATTGTTTATAGATTTGCTCGATCTATTTTGTTTTTTATGCTTAAATTTTTGTAATCAGAGATGAAAATAAAATATCAGGCCATCATATATATGATTGCAAGTGAAAAATCTTCTTTTGAGACAATTTAGAGGTATGCCTTGCCTTACTTTGTTTAGGGCCTCAACTTCCTACAAACCATACCTTTTTATTGAAAGGCCAAGGATATTTCCTAATTGGCAACCATGACACTCTAATATATGGTTGTTTTCATAAGAAAAAAATTTCAAATTTCAATTATATCTTTGCCAAATGGCAACACTGCACTCATATAGTTGCCTCTAGGGAATTAAGGGTGGTTTTTTGTAGAAATATTAATACCCCTTGGCCCTTGTTAGCTTTGGTGGTTTTGGGGTATAATAGACATTAGATAACCTCTTTTTAATTAGATTGATATTCATCAAAATATACGTGGCAAACATTTTATGCTGGTTGCCAATCTAACAAAACTTTTTTTTCTCTAGGCTTTCTGATGCAGGGAGAAAATAAAACCATAAAATTGACAATAAAAAGAATGAAGAAAAAAATATCATCTCTCAAAGGTCTGCAAGAGAATCCACTCTCAAAACAATCTTTTTCAATAGATCAATTTTTATTCAATTCATAGACTGATTTACAATGAAAGGAGATGTCCTTTTAAATAGATTAAAATAAGATAACTAATAGAAAGCTTCTCTCTACACTTATTCCTATTTTCTCTCTCTTATATCTACAGGCTCCTAGATAGCCAAGTTTTCCCTCTTATGTATTACCAAAAACCCTCTCAAGTTGGTTATTGTTGATAAAGATAAACTCTATTCTAAATTTACCCTTATCCTAATTATATCCATTAAACTAACCCAATCGATACAAGATAAACACAGTATAAACTCTAAAGTCACCCTGCTAATTATCCCTGTGCACTCTTTAAACAAAATAATAATTAAAATAATCCTAATAAATAACTCTAATAATTTTCTATTCTTACGTCATTGCCCTTTCTTTCCCTCTTGGGTTCTGCGACCCTTCTTTGGCCCAGTCACGAAGGGGCATGGCTGCATCATTCTCCCCCAATTGAAAGGAACTCGACTCCGGCGAGTTGGCTTCAGTATATATGTAATATAAGTCTAGATCCACTCTATTGAACTTTGGCTCAAAAATCTACGTGCTATCAAAGTATGGCATGCCTTTCCATTTGACTAGAAATTAGCGATAAGAACCCTTTCGAGTTTGAAAGCTTTCAGTCTTCAAACTTTGTTCAATTTTATCATCTTTCTTCCTTGGTAATTTCTTCATCGCATCAACTACATCTTCTGCGACTTCCAGAAGGTCTCCATGAAACTCAAATAAGTCAGCAACATTAAATGTCGGGGAGATATTCAATGCCTTTGGTAATTTTACCTTATATGTATTGTTCCCATATTGCTTCAAAATGCGGCAAGGACCCACTTTTTTGGACTTGAATTTATTATAGGTTCCCAACGAAAACCTTTCATTTCGCAAATACACCACTATTAAGTCACCCTATTTCAAAATCTTCTCTCTTCTATACTCTTTTGAGGCTTTTTAATACTTTGCATTGCTCTCCTCAATTTTCTTTTTGATTTGGGCTTACAAATCTTGAATATGCTTAACAAAAGCATTGGCATGATCACTTATCTTGCCGGCATGGGTAATGGCACTAAGTCCAACACATGATTAGGCATCCGCCTATTAACAATCTCAAATTATGATTTTCCTGTGAATCGATTTATTGAACTGTTGTAAGCAAACTCAGCCTGAGACAAAGCGAGGTCCCACTGAGATATGTTATCACCAACAATACTCCTCAAGAGGTTACCAAGGCTCCTATTCACTACTTCGGTCTGCCCATCTGTTTGAGGATGATAGGCACTAGAAAATTGAAGTTTGGTTCCCATGCACTTCCATAAAGTACGTCAAAAATGACTTAAAAATTTTGTATCGCGATCAGATGTAATAGACTTAGGAACACCATGTAGCCTTACAATATCTTTGAAAAAGAAATTCGCGATATGTGTAGCATCCATAGTTCTTGCCATTTTGGAAACTCGATCAACAACAACAAAAATATAGTTCATACCTCGTGTGGTACGTAGAAATTCAAGTACAAAATCCATAGAAATATCAACCCATGGGGCATCTGGAACAGGAAGAGGAGTGTAAAGACTTGTATTTTGTGTGTGACTTTTAGATACTTGGCAAGTTCGACATCGGGTCACAAATCGATCAACATCTCGTCGCATAAGTGGCCAAAAATATTTTTCTCCAACCATAGCCATAGTTTTGTCATTTCCAAAGTGTCCACCCAAGCCCCCACCATGAAGCTACATGATTATCTTCTCCCTTAAGGAGCAATCAGGTATACATAATTACACACATTTAAATAAATAACCATCATGCACGAGATACTCACCCATAAGGTCTCGCCCATCAACACATATTTCAAGGACCTTGCTGAAAATTGGATCAACTTTATATTGATCTTTTATCACTTCAAACCCCAACACATCTATAGACAAAGTTCTAAGCAACACTACCCATCTACTTAAAGCATCAGCTACTTTATTTTGGGTTCCAGCCTTGTGCTTTAATAGGAAGGTGTATTATTGAATGAAGGCCATCCACTTAGCATGCCGCACATTCAACTTTTTCTGGGAACTTAAATACGGGAGTACTTCATGATTTGAGTATAGAACAAACTCTCTATGAATCAAATAGTGCCTCCAGTTGCTTAAGGCTTGCACCACTGCATAAAACTTGAAGTCATAAACCAAATACTTCTTACGTGCATCATTCAATTTCTCACTAAAGAAAGCCAATGGTCGTCCCTCTTGAGTTAGAACTACCCCTATGCCAATATTTTATACATCAGTTTCAATCTCAAACACCTTAGAAAAATCTGGTAACGCAAGTTCTAGTGCTTGCAACATCTTTTGTTTAATTAGAGTGAAGCTCTTTTCAACAGCAAATTTCATGAAAACTTTTCAGCCCTCATACAATCAGTCATTAGTGCTATTAGAGTGCTGAAATTTTTGATAAATTGACGATAAAAAGGTCGCTAGGCTATGAAAAGAATACACCTCAATAAGTGACTTTGGCACCGGCCACTTAACTATGCCCTTCACTTTTTCTTGATCCACCTTAATTCCCTCAGATGAAACAACATACCCCCATAAAGACGTCATTGTTTGTTATAAATAAGCATTTTTTTTAAATTCACAATAAGTGATTCCTCCCTTAGCACATCAAAAACTTGTTCCAAGTAGTTAAGATGATCATGTGAGTTAACGATAAAAACCAATATATCATCAAAATAAACCACAACAAATTTACCAATACAAGGACAAAGTACTTCAGTCATTAGGTGCATGAATGTACTTGGTGCATTAGAAAGGCCGAATGGCATCACAAGTCACTCATATAGTCCATCTCGAGTTTTGAATGCGGTTTTCCATTCATCTTCAGGTCGAATCAGAATTTGATGGTACCCACTCCTTAAATCAATCTTTGAGAAAACCTTGGCTCCACGACGCATATCTAACATATTATCGAGCCTAGGTATGAGAAATCGGTACTTGATTGTGATTTTGTTGATTGCCCGACTGTCCATGCACATGCTCCATGAACCAACTTTTTTTGGAATTAATAATGCAGGGACGATACATGGTAAATGCTTTCTCGAAACAATCTCTTCTTAAGCAACGCAACAACTTGTCTATGCAAACTCCTCATGTTCCATAGGGCTCATTCGATAATGGGCCAAATTTGGTAGGCTAGATTCGGGCACCAAGTCAATGTGATGATGAATATTTCTCATTGGAGGAACATCAGGTAATTCTTTAAGGATCAAATCTTTATACTTATCAAGTAGAGGTTCAAGAGACCTAAGAATTACAGTCGGTGCATAATTTTCTTTTGTAACCAATACATAAATCACATCCATATCCTTGCTGTCCCTTTTTAATTTTTTAACATTAAGCAACTTTGAACCCTCTTCTTTAGTGGATTTGGGTGTAGGAAATTGCTTCATAAGGTGGAGTATTTTATTAATACCATCTTTAACAAATGAATAAATGTTTGGCCTAGTTTTATGCGTCATATCATGATCATAAAGCTATAATATACCAAGAAATATATGGCATGCATCCATAGGTGCTAAATCACACTACACTTTATTTTCAATAATAGAAAAAGAGATTAAACAACGAGTAAGAACTAGTACCTCACCTCATTTCTTGAACTACTGGATGTGGTATGGGCGTGGGTGCTTATGTTCCTTCAATTGAAGTTTAGCTACCATTTCTTTAGTCACAATATTTTCACTGCT